GATGTCAAATTCTGAAATTGCCAACATTGGAGGCCTGTAGCTCAGGGGTTAGAGCATTCGCCTTGCAAGCAAGAGATCTGGGTTCGATTCCCGGGCAGGGGGAGAGCTTAGGCAAGTTTCCTTACTCCACATGCCTCTGTTTACCTAGCAGTAAGTAGGAACCTGGTTGTTAGTCGATTGGCCAATCACTTTTCCGGGGGTAATACTTCAAAAAAATAATTTGGTCACTCAATCCTCAATGTGTGCAATTGGCTGCCATGTTTCACCTTCACAGTATATTCTGTGAACCACTTTAAGATGTTTCGAAGGCATGATAAGGTGCTGTATCAAATGCAAGGATTATTATTATTATAGTGACCCTAATAATAATCCTTGCATTTGATATAGCGCCTTATCACGTCTTCCAAACGTCTCAAAGTGCTTCACAAAATATACTGTAAAGTGAATTGACTGTAGATTTTGTAGGCGAAACGCGGCAGCCAATTGCGCACAGCAGCATCCCACAAACAGTTGTGGATTGAGTAACCAAAATTATTATTATCATTATTATTTTTGAAGGAATTATTAGCCTGGAAAAGCGATCCACCAATCGACTAACAACCGGGTTCTTACTTACTACAGATAAACAGAGGCGTGTGAAGTGAGAAAACTTGCCCAACATTTCGATTATTATTATTATTATGGAGGGAAGAGTGTTAACTGGTTGTTTGGGGAGTGGGAGGGATAAAGAATGACATCACGATTACTCCTTTCACAGACATGAAGCTGACTCAACTGCCCCCGATTTCCCAGAGATCCAGAACAAACTGCACAACCATTTATATTGAATATTTATCTCTTCTTGAACTCTCAGCTCTTTCTCTCTACATAAACGTTCCCGGTTACGGCAGTAACTCATAGGTTGAGTAGCTCTCTGCCTGTTGCAGTCTCCTTTCTGAGTTGCTTTCCCATCAATAAGATCAATAACAAAATGTTTGTGATCAGTGGCTTGTTCATCTACCCTGCTTTATATTTTACATTTCTGCGTTGGTCCCTGCAGTAAATCTACATTTCCCTCCAGCATTCCTGCAGCTTCTGGCAACATGACAAAGAGATTGGTATAAAATTTCTTATAGATTGCTGCTTAGCAATATTCCTGCTGCACTTCAATCTCACTTTAAAGAGCTACAAAAATGTTCAGTGTCCAAGGTGTTTGTTCAACAATAACTTTCATTTATATAGTGCCTCTCACACAGGGCAGCATCCCAGACAACTTGACAGTGGCGGAGCATGACTCCGAGCCGGGGGGAGGTGGAGGTGACCTTAGGTACGGTCGAACAGGAAGGTCTTCAGGCCAATCTGAAAACGGGGAAGGAAGGGGCAAGGCAGAGGGATAGAGGAAGAGTGTTCCAGAGTTTCAGGGCATAGTGGCTGAAAGAGCAGCTACCAATGGTGGAACGGAGGGCACGAGGGACATGCAGGAGGCCGGAGTCAGTCGAGCAGAGGTAGCGCGTTGTGGGCTGGGGCCTAAGCAGTCAGAGAGATAGGTAGGTGCCAGGGCATGAAGAGGTTTGAAAATGAGTTTGAGGATCTTGAAATTGACCCATTCGGTGAAGGGGAGCCAGTGGAGTTTGGCTAGGACTGATGTGATGGGGGTTCGGAGATAAGTGCAGGTGAGTATGAAGGTGGCGGAGTTTTGGATCAATTGGGTCCTGTGCATGGTGGAGCTATGGAGACCAGCAAAGAGGGCATTTGAGAAGTCCAGTCAAGAGGTGACGAACACATGGACGAGTGTTTCGGCTGCACCTGGGGTAAGGTAAGGCTGGCAATGTGGCGGAGGTAGAGGAAAATGTCAGGGACCGGATGTGGGGAAGGAAGGACAGCTGTGGGTAAAACCTGACGCCTAGGTTGCGCACTGTTTGGGTAAGTTTGAGGCCGGGACATAGAGGAGGCCAGAGCCGCAGGTTAGAAGAGGTTGACGGGAGCCAATGAGTATGGCTTCCATTTTCTGTCTCGAACCAGGATAGTGGGGTCCCACTGAGGTGGATGTTCAATAAATATGTGTGCCAGTCCGGCTCAGTCACTTACACTCTTGCTTCTGGTGGGAATGTTGTGGGCTGAAACCCCATATCAGTACTTTAAGCTCACAGTCCAGAGTCATAGTCGCAGTGCTGGGGGTGCGCTACATTGTTGGAGGTGCCATCTTTCAGAAGAGATGTTAAACTAAAGGTCCCATTTGTCAGTGACATTAAAGATGCCTGGACAACAGTCCTCCACATAAAGTTGGCCACTCACTTCATGACTGTTTGGGGGAGACGCTGCTGTGCGCAATTGGCTGCAGCGTAACCTGCAAAATACACAGTCACTACACTGTACAGTTTGGGAGAATGCTGCAAAGCATGAGACATAATAATAAAATATAATCCTTGCATTTGATATAGCGCTTTTCACGTCTTCTCGACATCTCAAAGCGCTTCACAGAATAGACTGTAAAGTGAATTGACTGTATATTTGTGGGTGAAATGCGGCAGCCAATTGCGCACAGCAGTGTCCCACAAACAGTCGTGGATTGAAAGTGACCAATTTATTATTGTTTTTGTTTTTGGAGGGTTTATTATTTGGCGTGTGGAGTAAGGAAACTTGCCCAAGGTTTTGCCCGGCCTGGAATTGCACCCAGGTGTCTCGCTTGCAAGGCGAGTGCTCTAACCACTGAGCTACAGGTCTCCACATCTTCCAAACATGAAAGACACTGTATAAATATAAGGACTTTTTAAACACAGATTGAAGAATACGGTACAGATTGGAAGCTGTAGTTTGTGAACAATACTGAGGAGCAGAGTTACAGACGGGAATCTTAAACACAATCTGGATAAACCTGGTTGGATGTGAACCTTTTGTATAAATCAATTATACATATCAAGGTTCACATTGGATATATTTGATCTACAATGAATTTTTTGGCTCAAAGAGTCAGATAAATCCTAGGGTTATTAATTCCATATAATGTGCAGTATACAGGGCACTATCGTCGACCCCGTAAACCCCCTGTACCACCCTACCCTCCCGTAACTTCACCCTCGCACCCCTCCCCCCAAAACCCCCCTCTCCCCCCACCGAACCTCCACCCTCCGACCCCTCCCCACCCGGCTGTCCTATACAGTTTCTCATGTTCTGTATATCGAGCTGAGAGCATTTTATAGTGAAGCCTGGATTAGAACATCACAAACAGACACCAGACACCAGGGACTGCGGTTACCATCTGGCAAGTCATCGCTATGGTAACTGTCATCACACTATTCCATCAGCTGCATTTAATGTAATTTAAAATTATAAATGGGTTGCGTTGGATCTTATATTACAAATAGAATTGTTACAAGTGAATTTGAACATTTCCAGGAAGAGACAGAAATTGAAGTGATATTATTAACCGTTGTAATAACTTCAGAACAGATGGCAGGAAGTTTCCCCTTTACACCGAGGGTGATCAGGTTGTGAGGACAGTAACATGGGCTCTGGAGGGATGAAGGACCTTCTTCATCTGAATCAATCTTGGGACCTTGTGAAGTCCTCAGGCCTGTCACCCATATTGTTTCACCTCCAGTTGCTCTATAGCAGAGGAGCACCAGCTGCTCTCACCCTCATAAATTTCAGCTGCCAATTCTGTAAGTTTATTAATATCTTCCTGCATCTTTTTACAATTCTCTTCAGCATTCACTTTGAGGCACCTGTGAATTTTGACACTATACCTTCTGTGCCTTGGGACGTCCTCCCGACGTGAAAGGCGCTTTACAAATGTAATTTTGTTATTGCCTGAGTCCAAATCATTATGTCCTTGGTGAACAGTTGCAATCCTCGTAAAAAGCACTTGTTACTTCTTGCCAGTCTCACCAGCTTCATTGGTGGAGTCCTGTAGCTCAGTGGTTTGAGCACTCGCTTTTCAAGCGAGAGACCTGAGTTCAATTCCAGGCAGAGGGTGAAACCTTGGGCAAGTTTCCTTACTCCACACAGAGCCTAATAATAATCCCTCCAAAACCAAAAACAATAATTGGTCATTTTCAATCTACAACTGTTTGTGGGACATTGCTGTGCGCAATTGGCTGCCGCGTTCGCCCACAAATATACAGTCAATTCACTTTACAGTGTGTTCTGTGAAGCGCTTTGGGACGTCCTCCCGACGTGAAAAGCGCTATATCAAATGCAAGGATTATTATTATTATTATTGCCCTTCACCTCCCCTCACCCCAGATGACACCTAAACCCTAGTATTTTCATCGTTTGTTGTCCTGAGTCAATGTGAAACCTAAATTATTGAAGATCTATTTATAAGAATCCGAGAAGCGGATTTTACAGTCTGAATAGGACTTAGAGAGACTGAAATTCCACCTATTTTGAAGACCATTTTATTTTAACAATCAAATTGCATAAATGTGGAAAATTCTTAATTTAAATGTTAATTTGTAAAGCCATTTATCTGCAATTCTCAAGCAGAACCAACACCCAATTCTGTTCTATCTTTGGAGGAATCCTATACAGTAAAGGGAACTTTGAAATTCTGGATCTTGTTCTCTCACACAGAAAAACAATCAATAATTATAGCTTAGAGGACAGCACTTCAGGTCTGAGGTAATTATTCACCTTCGTAACAGTAAGATGGCAGGAAGATGATCTCATCTATAAAAAAAATTGTGAAGAGTATGATCTGCAGATTGACCCACTGCAGCCTTCCCTGTAACACATCCCACAAGAGGAAATCCTCTGCCACACTGGTGTGACAGCCTGTGTGTGCCAGTGTGAGTGTCCCTCACCCTGTGTGTGCCAGTGCGAGTGTGCCAGTGTGTGATCAGATCTAGTTACCAGCACTGAGAAGAGATATTAATATTTGTCAGGGATAGAGCACACAAGGTGGAGCGGTCGCTCTGTGAAGACTGGCCATTAGAGGCAGGTCTGGCCAGAGCTATGCTTTATACCTTGTCAGCAGTTGAATGTCTGAAACTATAATATTATAATGAACTTTATTATTATAACTGTTAGTTAATATTAATGTGATTGTTAGTTCAACACAAGGTACAGTTTAACCATGTCTCCACAGCCAGACAGACTGTAACACACAGCACAAGTGAGTTAGGATAAAGGCCCCAGAAAGAGATGCTTTTAATAATAATAATAATAGATAATTCTGAAGGGTAGATGCCCAAAAGAGCATTAACATTGCTTGTCTAGCTCGGACCACCCAACCTACCCATGATGGCTTTGTCTTTCAAGGCCAACAAGAGCCATTTCAGGTCTGACTGGTTTCAGAATCCTGTGGACATGACAGGCTGGGCTGCCATAAGCAGTATCCTAGAATCCTGCCCTGGAATACCAAGGACCATCCCGCCTCAGGAAGCAGACGAGCAAGGATTGACTCAATCCCAACATTCCATTGGCCAAGAATGTCACTTTGGAGCTCAGCTCAGCTCCATGAGACCCTTGCTATCTTCCCAAGTAGTCAATATTCTAAATGTTCAATGCTCTTGTTGTGTAACCTCACAGCTGATCATCTTAATGAATAAATCTTCAACAACAACATGCATTTATGTAGTGCCCCTCCCACAGAGTAGTGTTCCAGAGTACTTCAGTGAATGAACAGGAGAGCTGGTCGGAAAAAATTGTTAAGATTTTTGCTACATTCAGAAACTGCAGGTTATATTTATGTGTGTACTTCAAAATGACAGGGCCCATTATGTTATTTTAACCTGATACATCCTCTGAGTAATATATCCTGGAGCTTATCCTAATTAGTATGTACAGAGCAGCTCAAGTAAGATCAGATAGCTCCAGGTTTGATCAAATTCACCTTGAGGCTTGATGGTGTCTGTGTTTCCTGGGAATGAGGAGCTGAGCTTGGAATAGAACACTAAAACAGGAATTCTTTGCCTTCTGTCAGACGTACAGAATAATCTCTGCTGCACCAACACCTCAACCCACTGCTCCCGCTCCGCTGGTCATGTGGTGACTCCGGTTCCCTGTTTCTGCCTCTAACTGTTCAGCACAAGAGCACGTTCCAGCCAATGCCAGCGTTTAACCTTTTTTTTGGCAAATCCAGGAGTCTGAGAATGGTGCCCCCTTGCAGGTGCCTTGTGGAGTGACAGTGAGACATCACTGAAGTTCCAATGGGAAGGTGGATTTTCTGCAGTCACCATTACAGAAGGAATATAGAGACAATCATTTTCTAGTTGGCTTTAACCCTGGATTGCTGTCTATGTTTCTCAGAGTACTTAACAGTGGCGGAACCTGACTCCGAGCCAGGGGGCGGGGGGGTGGGGTTTGGCCCTAAGCATGGTCAAAGAGGCAGGTCTTCAGGCGGGACTTGAAAAAGGGGAGAGAGGGGGCAAAGTAGAGGAATTGAGGGAGTGTTCCAGAGTTACAATTTACAGGTCCTCCATGGATAGGATAGAACTTGCCAAGGAGGAGGATGAAAGAGACCCAGAGGGGTTAGCCAATTCATTGCTTAAAATGTGAAAACAATATGAGGCGGCAATAAACAAGGCAAACAAGATGTTAAGCCGAATAGTATATAACAATATATTGCTGAATAGTTGAGTACAGATCCCCTGACATCATGGCTGTTTTTGGACATTGCTGTGCGCAAATTAGCTGTCATGTTCGTTTCAAATATACAATCACTATACTTTACAGAATATGCTAGAGATGTTTCACATGGAAGATAGTGTACCGGACCTAAAGGTTATATTCTTATTCTTGGGGTAATGAGCCAGCAAACTATTAGAACTACTTGTTTTGGCATTCAGTGCATTATCAACCTCACACAATCATTGAATCTGTGATGAATCCAACACTTCTCCTCAGTTTCTGAGTGTTTTGCCTCATGTAAAGGTCTGACACAATAACTAGTGTGTCCTCTAAACTAAATTACATCAAAACCATACACTTCACCTCTGACTGTTAGCAAAGAATTGGAGCAAACCTTGAATGTCACAGCTGCAAAGAGCATGCCAGACACACTGTTGGTGAAAGATTATCTGTCAGGCCTGATTGGACACCATTGGGGCTATACCTCTGCCTCATCTCCTGAGCTTGAGCTCGTGTTCAGTTCAAAGGCCACATCAATGAACTGGTCCTCTTCACTGCTGTCTGTGTAGTAATCAATCTCCTCTGGGCAGCGAGGCTCATCGTCATCACTCCTGCTGCCGACCACAGACAACATATTATTGTTCCTTAATTCAAGTAAAAATTAAGTTGCATTTCATTCTGTGAAATCACCTCTATTGAATCTCTCCATGCTGAGATCCACCCAGTCTTTATAATTAGCATATGTAACTTGGATGAGTTTCAACAAGATAATTTTAAGAATCTGAAAGTCATCGGGAAGGGTTGGTGTGTGCGTTTGCATGTGTTAGTGTGATGTATGAGCATGTATTGTGTGTGTATGTCGCTCCACTCCCCCCTTCTCTCTCCACCTCAGTCTGGACAATGTGAATGGATCCAGCCATAATCCACAGCATATTGGGGGAGAGAGAAAGGGAGAGAGAGTTCCAGATTCCCTTTTAGTTACCTGTTGTCTTTGCTGTTCCCAGGCCAATCTGCCTCCGAGCATTTGCAATACTGTCTTGAACCACTGAGGTCCAGCAACGCGCTGCAGAAATTCCTTCCCATCTCTTCTAGTTCCCATGTTCCAAGCTGCATGTCCTGTCATCAAAACACACTTTGGTTTATGGCTGCGAAAATCTATATATGATTTTAATTTATTTTCCTATCTATCATTTGCGTAGCTGAGCACAGTCTCACACACACACCAGTGATAGGCATTAATATCGCCTTCACATGAGGTAGGGTCACAGAGACATGTGTAAATACCTTGTAGTTGCCTTGATTGCAGCCACAGTAAGTGCTTTCCATTGTGTAGCTCCTGAGAACTCCAATCTCTCTCCAAACCACCACTCGTGCCGTTGCCTCTCGAGATTTCTCCACCAGGAAACTGCAGCTGCTGATGGCAAACGCAGCCGACATCGTGTCCAGCACTTTGGGGAGAATCTGCATGGAAAGCATAAATTATTTCAATGCAGTATATTTAATGATGACACTAAGTGATGACATTCTGCATATGTCAGACACAGGGCCCACCAAGAAAAGATAAGCTTATATTTTGATTTACAAAAACAGAAGTCGCTGGGAACACTCAGCAGGTCAGGCAGCATCTTTGGAGAAAAGAAAGTGAGTCAACGTTTCGGGTCCACGACTGTTTGTCAGAACCCAGTTCAGATTATTGAAGATCATTGATCATTGTTTTTGTTTCAGATTTCCAGCATCTGCAGTATTTTGTGTTTTGTTTATATTTTGGTTTATTGTTTTAACATCAGAAATAAAGAGAGGCTGATAAGTTAATCGCTAGTACCCTGACTGTTTCTGTATTGATTATATTCCTGACAGACTGAGCCTCACAAATCAATTCAGAGAATTTATGGCTGTGACACGTGCTAAAGGTAAGATGTTTCTGAGTTTCTTTACTGGAGAAGATTTCTCACATCCCATGGGGATGGGGAAGTGACAATCAGCTATCGATAGAAAAGGGAAAAGGCACAAACCTGGTAACCACTATCCTCTGACACAGTTGTCGTGTCAACACAGGAGCTCGATTGCCACAGTGTCTCCTTAATGCTGCAGCCATATAGAAAGACATTCTTTTTCCTGGAGTGGCCATGGTAGTCACAGAACACCTGGCAAAGACACAGCAGAAAACACTCATACCGGCTGTGTCAGGGCACCGAGGAATACAACAATCTCACTCACTGACTGGTCAGGGAAGAGCCAAACAGATCAGCTTCTCTCTATATACTTATTATTGAAGAATAAATCTTCACTGATACGAGTGCTCTGGGACGCTCTGCGCGAGGTGCACTATTTAAATGCAAGTTGTTGTAAATAGGTTTTAAACTGTTAAGAGAAAAGTGATATAATTTTTCCCCACAATCATGTATCTCGTACAAGAACATTACATTTACTCCATTAAAGACCACTGCTTTCCTGCTTGTGAATCTTCTTGTTCACTATCTCATACTTTCCCCTCTATTATCCTCTCAGTGACTGCTAACCATCATTATTCTCCCTTGTGGTCACCTCTCTCACAGAGCCTAATGTTGATGCAAATGCTGTTATTCCTACAACAATAACTCTTCTTCAACCATTGACATCCCCCATTTTTACCACATTTGGTGATACTGCGAGGAAAGTAGAGATAATCTCAGGAGATGGAGGCTATTGTCAAGTCGAATTGAAATATCGAATTTCAACACAAGCTCAATGAGTCTCTTGTTTGCCGTCTTAGAAAATTTACCTTTAAACTTTCTGTCTAAGATGCATCTGGTTAGTGTACAAAAGAGTCCACACTCTTACCAGGGGAGTCCTGCCAATGCTCTTGATGTAGCTGAGGAGACCTTTTGTGTGGTAAATTGTTGGGTGCAGATCAGGACTAGGATGGGACCAGTGTCGGTTCAGATCCTCCCCACTCAGTGAACATCGCTGGCTAATGTGATTTAAACAAATTAATTCGTCAATCAGCAAATTGTCAAAACATTTTGACTTTTTCATTTCAAAGCCAGATGCTGCAGAGACAGAAATACATGAAATTGTACAAAGCAGAAAATGGGGACGTCTCTCCATTTCAACCCTGTTAAATGATTGAGCCAAGTTTCGGTAACAGAAGCTTTCAACTCTGCTAACTTTTAATTAAATGCATGCATGGGAAGTCTGCTGGAGATGAAGTTGATTAAAAAGTTACTAATTAACTATGTGCTTGTACAGTTTTAATTGGAAATGTTGGTGATGAAGAGTTGCATTGGCCAAACTGCCTGATGTGATAATTCAAAGCAATTGTACAACATACTTTAAAGGTAACCAAGTAAAAGATAGAAATACAAAGATAAGAAAAGAGCATAAAATACGAGTAGATATATATATAAAATTAATAAAGATGCTGTATTTGCCTACAAATACACAGTCACTACACTTTCCAATAAATCCTGTGAAGCGCATTGAGATATCTTCCCAACGTGAACAGTACTGTATCAAATACAAGGTGTATGATCTTTATATGTCTGTCTGGTTTTAGATAAAACTGAATATTTTTTATAAGCGCACACACTAGATATATTCATTTAACATTCAAACATTCACAAAGAGCTGGTAAATCTCAAGGTGGGAATGAGATTGGCTCCATGCACGTTTGGGGATAATCAATCACTCCAGTGAGAACAATGTTTCTGTGATGCTGGGAGCAGAGCTGAGGGTAGGTGTGGTATGTAATAATAATAATAATAATCCTTGCATTTGATATAGCGCTTTTCACGTCGGGAGGACGTCCCAAAATGCTTCACAGAACACACTGTAAAGTGAATTGACTGTATATTTGTGGGCGAACGCGGCAGCCAATTGCGCACAGCAATGTCCCACAAACAGTCGTAGATTGAAAATGACCAATTTATTATTGTTTTTGGTTTTGAAGGGATTATTATTAGGCTCTGTGTGGAGTAAGGAAACTTGCCCAAGGTTTCGCCCTCTGCCTGGAATTGAACTCAGGTCTCTCGCTTGCAAAGCGAGTGCTCTAACCACTGAGCTACAGGACTCCAAGGACATTGCTGGGTGCAGATTCACAGCAACATTTTCATTCTATGAACTCCTTATAGTTAAATAATCTTCTCTGAAGTGGAACATTGATTTTTGATGCCATCAATTGGCCAATGATTGTTCCCTATCTTCAGTGAGTGATTGTAGGAAGAACAACATCTTACACAAGGGAAAGCTCTTACCCCATTAATCTCATCTTTCCAGAATCCACACCAAATTACAAGATATTGCAGGAATTCAATTACTTTTAAAACTGTTCCATGTAATACAATCAAAGTGTTCTTTCCCCAAAGTATAGTTACGTTCAAAAGCAATTCTCTTAAAATAGGCAAATCCTTGGCTATAGTAAGACGGAAATATTCAATTTAGACACATTGCGACTCTACATGATCTATAATACAATACACTCTCACTCCAACTCAGTGAGCCTGAGTTCACCCTCGTCTCCCTTTCCTCCCCCCATTTGTTTGACTAACGCCAACCCCTGTACCTAAGAGCATTAAACCAGACATATTCCATATTTGCCAACTACACAGGGAATCCATGTGTTTGGAAGAGAATGTGCAGTTGCTTCCTGTTTACCTAATTTCAGAGAGTGTGAAGTGCTGGATGGAATCCAGACCGTGTCCTGGACAGTTGAATGCACATATCATGGCCCAAACTATATACTGTATCTCCAGATATTATTTCCCAACAGAAATTCCAGCAATTCTTTCAAGAACAAATTCCGGCTGATTCAGGCCCAGGCACCTCCCTATCTCTCTAATCTGCCCACATCTCGCTCCTTTATCCACCACCTTCGCTCAGCTGGCACAGGTTGGCTGCCTGTCCCTCGTCCCCTCCACTCCACAATTGGTGTTTGTACTTTTAGACCTACACCCCGAATTTCTGGAAATTCTTGCCACAAATCCTCTATCTTGACCCTCTTCAAATCTACCTGAAGACTTTCCTCTTTGATCATGCGTTGGACTGAGTCAGGGTATCAAGGGATATGGACAAGGGTAGGTAATTGGACTTGAGGTACAGATCAGTCATAATCTTATAGAATGGTGGAACAAGCTCAAGGGGTTGAATGGCCTCCTCCTGTTTCTATGTTTCTAAGCCGTGCTGCTGTTAAGCTACCTATGTGAACGATGTTAGATAAATACAATACAAAATTACATTTGTAAAGCACCTTTCACTTCGGGAGGACAGCCCTAGGTGCTGAAATCCAAGTTGGTGTTGTTTGTTTCCCTTGAAATCATTAAGATAAAATTTATCATATTTCGGTTACATTGGAGCTCAGAGTACGTCAGTGAAAACATAGATACGCAGGTGGTTCTTCATCAGTGAACAATTCACCAGCATCACGCTATCTCACAGGATCCCTTTTATCACTATTCCCTGATGAGTTACGATGAACACAGAGCTCTTGAGAGCCAGACTCACCAGCCATTGATGACACCATCGGGGTTCAGCATGGGGACAATCTTGAAGATGAACAATTGTCGAAGTTTCTCAGCTACGGTGGTGTTACTAACCAGGAACTCCAGTGTGCCCTTCATCACCCAGGATGCATTGCTTTCTCCAGGATGTACACGAGCAGTGAGTACAACGTATTGGCGATTCTCTGAGACACAGCAACAAATACAATTGGTTTAATTCCAACAAATAAATCTTTTTACAGAACTATTGTGTCCATAAAATAACTGCTCTAGAATTCCAGTACAAGTATAAAACAAGTATTATGTCTTCCTCTTAAACCAGTGGTGAAAGGCCTGACATCAAATGCAAGGATTATTGTTATCATCACTACAGTAAACACTGGACTCCCACACACCAGAAACTCTCAGATTAATCTAGTAAATGTTGTCATTCTTCTGCATAGTCACATTATTACTTACGGAATTGATGGTGATGTTTTGAGTGTCCAGACTTAGGTGCAGCGGTGATGGTGATCACTGGGCAAAGGTTGCCACTCAAGGTGCTACACAGCGTTTGGTGTCTGAAATAGACCTGACTGGGATCCAGTGACATTTCCAGCAGGTGCAGGTGGGCCTGCAACAGACCACAGAGGAAACCTTGTTGCACTTTGATAGTTTGCTCATTTCATTTAATCCTTAAAAGATTGACCTAATAAACTGGTGTAGCAGGCTTGATGGACTGATAGGCATCCTCTCGTTCCTATGAAGACAAGTATCAAATACCAGAACTAGCCAGTTTACATGGGAACAACTATTTGCATCCATTAACGTAGAATAACATCTCAGAATGTATATATATATATATACATACATGTACATATATATGCTTTTAGGGTAGGATATCTGAAACAGGAATTGTACCTTTCATAAAGTTTGGTGCAAGGTTCATGAGACACATTCATCACTGACATCTTTTGTGCATGGATTTTACATCAGTCACAATCATGTATCTAAATGAAACAATTTTCCATATTGTTTCACTCGTATTCTGTTCATTAAAACTCTTGCACTATATTGAGTGGATGGATGTTTCAGCAGGTAAGCCAACCGATGTCGTCAGTGGCCAACTTGCTGTGATTACCTCTGGACTAGTAAGTTGTCACTTCAATTTCCTGTGGGATGTAATTGAGTTACTGTAGTTATTGAATTACCATCAGAGCTGAATAGGTGTAGGGGTAGTGATAGGCCAGGTAGCACACATCCTTGGAATGAGGGAAGCTTATGGTGAAGGTCAGAGTGTAGAATTTTCTCCCTCTCTGTCCAGCGCCTTCATTGCAACAATAATGATTCCTGAGGAAATACAACATCACCTTTAAAATTAATTAATTTGTTTTACTTAAAACACTGTGCTTTTGGAAATTGCATCAAATGTTCTCATGATGTAAAAAGGAATCATACTTGTAGTAGCAGATATCACTCCCCACACGAATCCAGTGGGGTCTTCCACTCATTGCTTCATGAACCGAGTACATAACTGGCTGCATACCTAGAGAATAAACACAGAGTGAGGGTGACAGACAGTGAATGCTGATTTCTCAGATACAGATTCTTAACTGGATTCACAGCTTTGCCATTTTCAGGGCCAGTGAGGTGTTGGATTTTAGGATCATTTGCACTCCGGGAGCCTATCCCATGTGAAAGGTGCTATATAAATGCAAGTTGTTGTTGTATTACTGAATGAAAACTGGAAAGTGAACAAGTGCAATGTGAAGTGAATCCAGAACGAAAATCAAACAAAAGAACCTCTAGCTGAGGTGAACATTTAAAATGTTAGTAAAAGATTCATATTGGTAACTTAATTTGCTTCAAGTCCATTAATGGCTTCCATTAATTCCATTGTGTGTAAATGCCTGCAACAGTCATTATAATAATCCTTGCATTTGATATAGCGCCTTATCACATCTTCGAGACGTCTCAAACTGCTTCACAGAATGTACAGTAAAGTGAATTGTATATTTTGGGGGCGAAAAGGAGCACCACACATTCAGCTGCTGCTAACCGTCAAAAAAAGCTGCAACCTGCAAGTCAAAATCCTGATCTTGTTTCATCGATGTTGGTAATCAGAAGATGCATGGGGGTGGGAGGGGGGGAAATCTGATAATTACTATTCCATATTTTAAGAATTTAAGGGGCGCTGTATAAATGCAAGTTGTTCTTATTGTTATTGTGTGGTCTTACCATAGTTAAACTGGCTGTTTGTCTTCTCACAGTTGATGATGTTGAATCGATATGAAACTCCGGACTTCATTCCACTGACCTCAAAGTAGAACCACTGGAATTGATCGTCGGTGTTGATATCAGCATTCAGGATTAAATCATATTCGTAACTGGAAAGACGCAGGAACAGAGAATAAGAATTTGGTAAGAGCAAATGGAACATTCCTCACTAAATCCACTAACTCTTAATTTACTACAAACCTCCCTTTCCTTTTTTCCTTTCGAAGGTCCTTGAACAAGTAATTGCTTCCCAGCTTCTCTCCTTCCTCCCCCTATATGAACCCCTCCAATCAGGATTCTGTGCCGCCCACAGCACAGAAACAGCCCTGGTCAACGCTCTAACCTCCTCCACCACTTCTACTTTCATGGTTCCGTCCTTGACTGGTTCAGATCCTATCTCTCGCACCATCTCCACTTCATCTCCACAAATGGTTTCTCCTCCAGCCCCCGCACTGTCTCATGTGGAGTCCCTCAGGGCTCTGTACTTGGTCCCCTCCTTTTCAATTTCAATATGCTCTATCTTGGTGACATCATCTGCAGACATGGGGTCAACTTCCACATGGTTAGACACCCAACTGTATCTCTCTGCCTCCATCCTCGGCTCCAGTAACACTGCTATCCTGACAGAATGTCTGTCAGACATCAAGTCCTGGATGAGAACTAACTTTTTACAGTCGAATGTCAACAAGATCGAGGCGCTCCTGTCAGCACCTCCTCACCTCAGGTGCTGACAACACCACCCTCCACGGATGCACACTTCACCTTTCTAAGCCAGTTAGGAACCAAGGCGTCTTGTTTGACACTCAACTGTCCTTTCTCCCCCACATCCATGCCATGACCCGCTCTGCCATCTCCCACCTCCGCAACATCGTCTGGCTCCGCCATTGCCTCACCCCTCAGGCCGTCGATACCCTCATTCACAAGTTCATCACACCTAGCCTCAACTACGACTTCCAAAATCTTCCTTCCACAAGCTGCAGATCATCCAAAACTCAGCAGCTCATGTCCTTTCCTGCACCAGGCTCCATGACCCAGTCATCCTCCACCCTTGCCCAACTCCACTGGCTCCTCATCCCTCAGAGGATAGAGTTTGTCCTCACCTTCAAGGCCTCCACGGCCTTGCACCCCCACCTCTGTGAGCTGCTGACCCCTATCAACCTGTCCTATCAGCAGGCTCTGGCCTGCTCCACGTTCCCCACTCGCCCTGCCCCACCATCCGGGAAACTTTTGGAACTTCATCCCACTCCCTTTGCCTCGTTCCCTCTCTTGCCTCCTTCAAGGCATGTCTTAAGACCCTCCTCTTCGTCCATGCCTTCAGCCACCCTCCCTGCCCTCCTCCCTCCGTTAACCCAACATCCCTGCCCCATCCTACCACTTCCCCTCCACTTGGGTCTAAATCCCTGACTGTCCAGTGCCTTGGGATGTCCTCCCAACGTGAAAGGCACCATACAAATGTAATTTTGTATTGTACAGATGGTGTTAACAGCATAAACAAGTTTCTGAGTTTAAGTAACACATTAGCAATATCCACAATCAGGTCATTCAGGCGGAATAACAATAATAATCCTTGCACTTGATATAATAATATATAACTTGATATAATAACAACAATAATCCTTGTATTTGATATATAATGCCTTTCATCAAAGAATTTCATACAATTCAGACAAGAACAGGTAACCAGCAACACAGTGAAAGGATGATATCAGTGAGCCAAAGAGACTTTGTCAACCAAACATCTCTTATGATTTCTGCTGGAGAATAGCAAGTATTTCAGATATAAGATACATCTAATTAGTCATATGATTTAAATACCCGATGACCAAAAAAAACTTTTCGTGAAAGTTCAATTAATGGCAAAAATAGGATCTGGTTCGGCATAAACACTAGAGTTACTACAATGTAAGTTATAACAGAAGTTCACACGAACCTAGTTATACTTACTTGCGTATTTGAATGGCTTTACGAAGATTGCCTGATTCAAAGTTTGAGTAGAATTTAAGAGAAACACCATCTTCTGAAAAAACATTTCTGGAAAGGACAAAGAAGAATGTAATGGTGATCTGGTATTTACCATGTTCCACTTTTAATATCTCATATTTGCAGGCAATGAAAGCTAAAAATAATAATAATCTGTGTATTTTATGTAGCACCGTATCATGTTTTCGAGACACCTCAAAGTGCCTCACAGGATTTACTGAACATTGAAATGGTCTCAAAAATCTTCAACCAGAAAAAGCGAGGAATGGGAGCCACAGATTGGACTAACCATTCAGTGCCAGGCTTGAGGGGCTGAATGGCCTAGTCCTGTTTCTATGATAACCAGGGGAAGATCACAATACAATAAGACTGCACCCAGCACTGCAACACCATTCTGAGGGTTAAGATTTTATATAATTTAATGAATTTGCCTGAAACACATTCATATACCCAAATCCTAGCCTGAAAGAGCATTTTGTCTTGAAAGGTAAAAACATGTAAATTGTGCAACATTCTTAAATACCTGTGCAGTCTTAATTTGGAATTGTGGAAATTCAGTCTCCAAATTGAAACTAAATTTAAGAACTTTACACAATTCTGCACAAGGGCATAGTGCATGAAGGACAGTTTCAAGTGCATGATGAATACCAGGAATATATTCAGATTAATTCATTCTTATTTTTAGGGCTGCTGGAAATGGTACTTTACATCATCGTAAAATCAATGATAAAATAAAGCAGAAAACAGCAATGGATGAAACGTCACAAATTTGGTATTTTTCACAAACAGCAGGTTGGCATTTTGTATAAATTGACATGACTATGGAGGATTAATAATACATTCACATACCTCATAACTTCAGCATCAAAAACAACCCTGTTCAGTACATCTTCAGAATTCACTAAACGCTGTAAATCGTCAAAAATTTTACACCTAAAACCAAATAAATTGGAATAATTTGAAAACAGATCACTTAAAAAATGAACAGATAAACCAGGCATTGATCTGGTGGCCTCATTTGACAGAGCTTCTTGTAACTGAAGACCATACAATACCTACATGTCAATGCGCTCTTTCCTATCCACCCATTCATTATTCAAACCCCTTCAGTCGGGTTTCCGTGCTGCCCATAGCACAGAAACTGCCCTGGTCAAGGTCACCAATGACATCCTGACCATCTGTGACCAGGGCTCCCTCTGCCTCCTCGTCCTCCTCGACCTATCGGCAGCATTCGATACGGTAGACCATGCTATCCTCCTCCACCGCTTGTCCTCCCACCTAAACCTTCAAGGCCCTGTCCTTGAGTGGTTTAGGTCGTACCTCTCCCACCGTCTTCACTTTGTTTCCACGAATGGTTTTTCCTCCGGCCCCCACACTGTCTCGTGCGGTGTCCCTCAAAGCTCTGTCCTCGGTCCCCTCCTCTTCACCCTCTACATGCTCCCACTGTGGTGACATCATCCGCAGACATGGGATTAACTTCCACATGTATGCGGATGACACCCAACTCTACCTTTCCTCCTCTACCCTCAACTCTACGACCACCAATGTCCTGACAGTCTGCCTGTCCAACATCGAGTCCTGGACGAGAGACAACTTTCTTCAGCTCAACGTGCGTAAAACTGAGGCCCACCTGATTGGCTCACGTCAGCGCCTCCGCACCTCAGGTGCTGACAGCATCAGCATCCAAGGCTGCACTCTCAACCTCTCAAAGCCGGTCAGGAACCTCGGCGTTCTGTTCGATCCTGAGCTGTCCTTTCTCCCTCATATCCGCACCACAACTGGCACCGCCTTCCATCACCTCTGAAACATCGCCAGACTACGGCACTACCTCACCCCTCACGCGGCTGAAACTCTGGTCCACGCCTTTATCACCTCAAGGCTGGATTATGGGATCTCTCTCCTCGCCGGCCTTCCCGGCCCTCCCTCCACACTGCAGGTCATTCAGAACTCTGCAGCTCGTGAACTGTCCCGCACCAGGCTTCGGGACCACATCACTCCCACCCTCGCTCGCCTCCACTGGCTCCCCATCCCCCAGAGGATCGAATTCAAGATCCTCATCCTTACCTACAAGGCCATTCATGGCCTCGCTCCCTCCTACCTCTCCGACCTACTATCCCCCTACCTACCTGCCTGTACCCTCCGTTCCTCTGGCTCCGGTCTGCTCCACATCCCCCGCCCCAACTGCCCTACCATCGGTGGTCGGGCCTTCAGCCTCTCAGCCCCCAGGCTCTGGAACTCTATCCCCCAGTGCCTTCGCCTTGCCTCCTCCCTTTTCTCCTTCAAGGCCGGTCTCAAGACCTTTCTCTTTGACCGTGCCTTCAGCTCTCCTCTCGACTCTCTACCCCCTCCTCGCTCCCTCCCTTCCCTCCTCTCACCCTGACCATTTCCCCCCAATGCTTGGGTCCTGACCCAACTGTACAGCGCCTTGGGACGTCCTCCCGACGTGAAAGGCACTCTATAAATGGAATCTTGTTGTTGTTGTTGTCAATGTTCAGTATTGAAAAACCTGAACAGATGAGATTATGTGTCCAGTATTTGTTGCCAGTGTTGGTGATGTTAATCTAACACTGATGTGTCTCATTGTGTCCAGCTGGGATGTTGACAACCCACGGGGCAGTGTTACTCGGGAAGTCAAACTTAATTGTCTTCAGGTTCAAACAAGCAGTTATGCATGAACCACAAGGCTGGTTTTTGCTGCTAACTGCACCAATTCGAAGACAAGACCCAACATGGGTCATTTTAATCATTTTTATTGTGTCTAATTACATATTGTGTAGTTTAAAATACAATTATAAACCAATCAACGTTTAGAAGTTGGAGCACCAGGTGTTTGTCTGCAACGTAAAGAACAACAATAACAAATATAGTGCCCTTCACTCGGGGTAACATCCCGGAGACAGTCACTGCACCCATTGAGATGGCCATTCTGACAGGAAGGTACTGTATCAAATGTAAGAATTATTTATGAATAATTAATTTATTTAAAAAAGTATGTTCATAAAACATAAAATCAGAAATATTTTTACAAACATATAAAGGGCTGTTGTTTGGCAAAAATGTTGACAAACATTAAACCTGATCATTTTAAATAAGTATAATAAATATCAATTATCAGGGACCCGCCCACTGGTCAGAATGACTCAAATCACTGGCCTTTAATTTGCTTTAATGCTTTGCACACTTGCTCCAAACACACATATCATTTAGTCACACTCAATGCAATGAAGATGTTCATTATGTCAGCCTTCACCTGAGGTTGAATGACATCGTTTGAGATCTTAATCGACGAGACTTGAACAAGTTTAATATCCGCAACATTTCAAAACTTAAAGAAACTGAACCTTTACCTTTGAATTCGGTGTTTTCGGCTCAACATTGGCTCCTGACACGAAGGTGGAAAATGTCCCCAGAAATCGGGAAAGCCCAGGGTTTTGTAATCGGTGGCTGACTTTGTTTTTTCTGCCATAATGGTATAAATGTGCGGATCATGAAATGGTATCTCCTCTTTCCGCATTTCTAAAAGCTTATTCCCAATGTCAATCTTTCTGTTGAAAACCTCTCTCTGAGCCGAGGAACAAGCACATTGTCCCCTCTGGGTCTTTATGTCCTGTAAACCCTCAAAGTTGATGGTCATTTGGGATAAATCCTCGCGGCTCCTCCCCACATACGAATGAGGCTCCGCAACTTTGTGCGTTGAAGGATCCAAAGAGCAAATGGCAATAGTTTCTGTTGGAAGAATATCAAAATCTTCATCAGGTTTGGAATCGAGCTTTGAAAATTCTTCAGATGCTTCTTCTATTCCATAAGGTGAGGTCTGGAATTTTCTCTCAGTGATTTGGTATTTAGAAGACTTGTGTCCTTTTCCTGAACTCCTATCGGGTGAGTGTCCTCCCGACGTGAAAGGCGTTTCACAAATGTTATTTGTTGATTTTGTTGTTGTTGAGTGTTTCTGTCTCTGTCGTCTGTGTTGCTCCGATGTTGAAGAAAACATGGAATTATTCCGTAGATCATCCTGGGAGCTACTTTCTAAATTCTGCAAAAACAAAGTATATTATTACTTTTATTCTTTTGTGTTTAATGGTCTGTTAGAATTATCAGAAAAATACTAAATATTTTCCGGGTTGAGGATGGTTTAAGCAGGGCAGCAATGTAACAGAATCCAACAGAACTGCAGGCACATTCTCCACCAGGACTATTTAATTTCAAACACTTTGACATTTAACCTCAGAGTTTCCCAGATCATTCATTAATTTAAAAATAAAGTGGAACATGTTCCATTACGACATTATGTTTTCTAATATTGATAAAAACAAAATCTTTCACATTCCCGCTATTCATTAACCCTTAAAAACACATTTGTGATTCCGCATTCTTTACATTCTCTTTTAAAGCAATAACCTGACAATTCACAAATGTGACCTGACAATTAATAAGAACAAAACGTTGAACCACCTGAAAGTACTCAAAAAGTTCTGGGCAAAGTTTTTCATATTGTTTCAGCTCCTCCAATGGTCTGTCAAGTCCTGGCATTGGCTGCAACCTATTTAGGTCAGTTTCCAGGTCATTGTCCTTAAAGGAACAAGTAAAAGAGTGTTTAATGAAATTCATAAAGCCGCTTAAGTTAGACACATCGAGATTAATCCAAGTTCACTTCCCATCCAGCAGAGGAGCGGGTCCTTCCCCCTCTTGTTGCTGTTCCCATTGGACGGGAAGGAAAGCAACGGGAAGGGTACTTGGCAACTGACAGCCTGGAGGACTCCATTCACAAGCGCCCCAGCTGTCAATCAATCGCAATGTGTCTCCTCCCTTCTGCACCCTGGGGCTGCTTGAGACACAGAAAGCATCACTGAGTAGATGCAGCTTGACCGATTAACTGGATTTTTGTCTGACTTAACCATCATATTTAAAATAGTTATTACAAATGAATTGGGGTGTTTTGTCCAGTTTACCTGGCGTCCTGGGTTAACCGGCATCTGTATGAAGCGGCTTCCACTGTATCTATCTCCTTTATCAACAGCCACTGACTGCCTATAGCTTTCTGGCCACTGCATTCCATTCAGCTCCAACAACAACAATTTGTGTTAATATAGCGCCCTTCGCGCAGGGTAATATCCCGGAGTGCTTTACCTTCAAGGTAAAGAAATATTTTCTAAACGTTCTTGCTCTAACTTGAAGATTTTGTGCCCTTGTTTTCTCTCTGCTGAGGGAAGAGTTCCTTCATCAATTCCCTTCATTGCCTCAATCAGATCATATTTCTAAACATAATTTCAGAACATAGTTGCACTCAAACCTTCTGGATTCTTTTTGGTCTACACATACTGTTCTTAAGACTAATTCATGCTGGGTATATGTGGTTCAACCCATGACTCATGAAATATTACCCATTCTTCATTTACTTACTTCTTCATTGGACCCAGGCTCTTCATTGTCAATGTCTTCAGTGCCATCCAGTTCCTCATCACTCTCATCAGCTATAGCACCATCTACACAAACATACAGGCCAATAAATCTGATCACATTGCAACAATTTAGAGTATAGACAGTGATTATATCATTTGGTGTTTTTATTCTTCCACCTAAGTGAATCACATTACATTTCATCTGACACTTATCGCTTCCTCTATTAATTTCCCATCTTCATTATGTTGAGCTTCCTACCTCCACTCTCCAAATGCTATTGGATTTAAAGGTTTGATTTGCTGCTGAACTCTTAAAGATGGACTATAATGGATTTTTTTTGTCTCTTCTGCATTTCTTTTTACCATATAAAAAGGTCTCTTTTATAAGATAGTTTCTATGGAATTTCTGACTCACTACATTAGGCCTAAAATATTTCTAAAATGAAGTGAACAGTAGTGCTTTGGTCGACCCTTCCATCACATTAATAGAAATTCCTACAGAGTCTAAGCATCTCCGAGATGCTATCCCGCACGAAAGACGTTCTATAAATGTAAGCTGTTGTTGTTATCTCACCTTGAAGTGGCTCACTGCGATACCGAGTTATAGTTGAGCTGGAATTGTTTGGCAATATGAATAAGGAGCTTTTGACTGGAAGACCAGGAAGATGATGTTTTGGATGACACCTCCGCATAATTTTCGTAGCCAAATTTATGACAGAATCAACACTTGTGCTGGAGAGGCAAACCTAGAATCAGAAATCAAAATCAAAAATTGCCGTTGACTGAAGGCACGGTCAAAGAGGAAAGTCTTCAGGTGTTTGAAGACGGGCAGAGAGCGGGCAAGACAGAGGGATTGAGGTAAAAAGTTCCAGCGATTTGGGGCATAGTGGTTGAAAGCACAATGAACAGGCAGATGGGGTCTTGCTTTAATGTCTCATCTGCAGGATGGCAACTCCAACAATGCAACATATCCCCAACACTGCACCGGAGTGTCAACTTAGACAAGGTGATTCCCGACGTGGGTCTTGAACTCACAACCTTCTGACTCAGTGATGAAAATGCTACCAACTGAGCCAGGCAATTGTTGATTGGTTGTGGAAACAAAGTCAAAATGTGATCTTTTGTTATTTGTGGAGTCCTGTAGCTCAGTGGTTAGAGCACTCGCTTTGCAAGCGAGACATCTGGGTTCAGTTCCAGGCAGGGCGAAACCTTGGGCAAATTTCCTTACTCCATACGCCTAATAATAATCCCTCCAAAACAATAATAAATTGTTCATTTTCAATCCACGCCTGTTTTTGGGATGCTGCTGTGCGCAATTGGCTGTTGCGTTTCGCCCACAAATGTACGGTCAATTCACTTTACAGCATATTCTGTGAAGCATTTTGAGATGTCTAGAAGATGTGAAAAGTGCTATATCAAATGCAAGGATTATTATTATTATTATTTCATTCTGGAAAATGGCCAAACTCTCCTCAGCTACTGCAAAACTGTTTAATTGGAACAAACCAAATACAAATAATGTAAAAAGACACAATAGGTTTCATAAACCAGTCATGAATTCACATTATTATATGGGAATTTGTTGGCCACGACACCAGGAAAAGTCTTTTTGAATTTTGTCATGGGATGTTTAATGTTCTCCTGAAGAGAGATGGATTTTCAGAAAGCCTTTGATCAAGTGTCATTTAAGGGGCTCATGACTAAAATCAGGGCATGTAGAATCGTGGGAGAGGTGGCAGAATTAATTAAATAATGGTTAGGAAACTGAAAGCAAAGAGTAGGAGTTAAGCGCAACTTCTCAGGCTGGCGATAGTTAGGAAGTCGTGTCTGCAGGGATCCATGGAAGGACTGTGATGTTATATACATAAATGATTTGGATTAAGATGCCGGCAATAAAGTGTCACAAATTGCAGATAACACCAAACGAGGAATGCATAAGAATGCAGGAAGACATAAATAGGGTAGCAGAATGGGCACACAGATGGTAAATTAACTTTAATATAGGAAAATTCACTTCAGCAAGAAAAATAAAGAAATTATCTATAGTCTAAGCGGAGTCTGGGATCTCTTCTAGATTCAAATCTCTTAAAGTAGTTACACAGGGAGATGAGGCTGTACAATGCCATGGAGTTTTGGGCTTTATGTTCAGAGGGATAGAGTATAAGACCACATTTGGAGTATTGTGCCCAATTCTGATCTCCACACTATAAGAAGTATACAACAGTGATGTAAAGTTTATGAGGATGATACGAGAGCTGGCAGTTTATTGCTATCAGTAAAACTAGATAAATTATGCTTTTTTCACTAAAGAAGAGAGATTTAAGAAGGGTCCTAATAGGGGTGTTTAAAATTATAAAAGAGTTTGATAAGGTTAGTATCAATAGGCTTTTTCCACTGGTTGGGGAGTCTGTAACCATAGAACATAGGTATAAGATAATGATGAGGAGACGTAAAAGAAAATTTAGGAGGGACTATTTTGTGTAGAAGGACGTGAGATTGTGGAACTCACTGACTGAAAACGGTGGTTGAATTCAGATGTTTTCAAGAGAAAGCTAGACGTTCACATGAGGGAGAGGGGAATAGAAGGGTGTGGGAAGGAGTAATGAAATGGGTGAAGACACTTGTGGAGTGTAAACACCAGCAGAGTTTCTGTGCTGTACAATCTGTGTTAATAGGTGGGACCTCAGTTTAACCTCTTGTCCAAATGATGGCACCTTTGACAATACAGCAGTTCCAGGCAATGTTTAATAGCCTGTGGTGCTGAGTAACGTACCTGTGATGTGGTGAGTAGGATTCTCATTCCATCTTCATCCAGAAAGGCCTTCCTGCCTGCCTTGGTGTTTGTAATATTTTTAATACAGTTGAGGAGACCTTTGCGAATAGGAAGATATTTATTGAATACATCTCCTTGATGCCAGTCTTTATACAGCTTTAACAGACCTGAAATGTATCCACTGTTGACGGCACTTTTACTGTTAGATTCTGAAAAAAACATGAGAATTGCATCTCTCTGAGGGCTTGTTATTCTGAAGCATTTAAATATTTAGTCACTCTCTAATTTTCAAGCAATGTTTAGCAGAAGTATTGGGTACGGTTCTGGCCAGTTATCTGACAGAATAAGTGGTAATAGCAGCTTTTTGTGGTATTGCTATATTACTGCACCTTGAACTTTTGATGATACTTCATAAAGACACAAAATATTTTGTGATGAATGAATCTAACTACACAGAATTACACAGAATGTACAACATGGAAACTGGCCACTTGTCCCAACCATCTGAGCTGATGTTTATACTCCACAACAGTCTTCACCCATTCCTTCTCTTCCACACCCTTCTATTCCCTATTTATTCACAATGTAATTTGAATAAGATTTAAAGATATCAACGTGCTGATAAAATACTTCACAATCTGAATGAGATTACACACACCTGGAGCAAAGGCAGTGATGATATACATGCCGTTTGGAAACCTTGAGTGAGGCTTCCCCACTCTAAGGTTGTTTATTTCATTAGACATCATAAATCTACCTGAATGTTTTGACAAAAAGTCACAGTGGTAGCAATGTCTACAGATTTAAGAGCATTTTATTGCTTTATAAAAGGATTGTGAAAGTGAGTTCTAAACTTACTTGATTTTAATAGCGATGACAAGGCTGCTGTTGCTGCTCTGTGAAGCAATGAAAGATTTAATTCAAAGTGAACAGATTCATTTAAATACACATCAGCATAATTTGCAGTTATATAGCACCTTTGACACCAGGATGATGTCCCAATGCGATTAAAATTTAATTGAAAAATATCACTTAATATTATTTAAAAATTAGATTCATTCTATCCCTGTTATGGTCAGGAACTCAAACCTCTTTGTAATTTGTTCCCATAAAACGTACATTTACATTTTACACTTCTTATAGGTTATATACAGGTGCCTATGTAGATTTTATGTTGGTTGAAAGTCCCAAAGCACTTTGCAGGATTTACTGTAAAGTGTAGTGACTGTGTATTTGTGCACAGCAGAATCCTACAAACAGCCCTGGTGAATGATCAGTTTTATTTGGCGGTTATTGACCAGGACACCAGAATAATCTCCCTTGTCTTTTTAAATGTGTATCCAATTTCCTTTTAAATGTTATGGTCTCAGCCTCAATCGCCACTGTGGCAAAACATTTCATATTATTGAAGTAAAAATCTTTCCTCTAATCTCAGCAGAGCTGTGCAATACCGGCAGCCTGAAGGAATCTGGTCTTTACCTACCTAAGGATTTAGTGTCCGATTGAAGCAATTGGAAACACTCCACAACACAAATACTTTCTGTTATTCTTTTTATCCTCTACAATTTATGTCAAAAAATGTATTATAGCCTTGGCAAGAGCTGGTCACTCGGGGACAGTAGGAGGAGGTTGGAGCGGTTTTAATCAGCATATGATGAGCACATATAATCAGATACTTAGCCCCACCATAAGCTGATTCACATGGTTTGTGACAATAAATGATGATATTGTTCTTCCAAAATATATGTTACACAACGTGTGTCAGCCCGGCTCTGTGTGTGTGTGTGTGTGTGTCAGCCCGGCTCAGTGTGTGTGTGTGTCAGCCCGGCTCAATGTATGTGTGTGTGTCAGCCCGGCTCAGTGTGTGTGTGTGTGTCAGCCCGGCTCAGTGTGTGTGTGTGTCAGCCCGGCTCAGTGTGTGTGTGTGTGTGTGTCAGCCCGGCTCTGTGTGTGTGTGTGTGTGTCAGCCCGGCTCTGGTGGTGTGTGTGTGTGTCAGCCCGGCTCAATGTATGTGGTGGTGTCAGCCCGGCTCAGTGTGTGTGTGTGTCAGCCCGGCTCTGTGTGTGTGTGTGTCAGCCCGGCTCAGTGTGTGTGTGTGTGTGTCAGCCCGGCTCTGTGTGTGTGTGTGTGTCAGCCCGGCTCTGTGTGTGTGTGTGTGTGTGTCAGCCCGGCTCTGTGTGTGTGTGTGTGTCAGCCCGGCTCAGTGTGTGTGTGTGTGTGTCAGCCCGGCTCTGTGTGTGTGTGTGTGTGTGTGTCAGCCCGGCTCTGTGTGTGTGTGTGTGTGTCAGCCCGGCTCTGTGTGTGTGTGTGTGTGTCAGCCCGGCTCTGTGTGTGTGTGTGTGTGTCAGCCCGGCTCTGTGTGTGTGTGTGTCAGCCCGGCTCAGTGTGTGTGTGTGTGTGTCAGCCCGGCTCTGTGTGTGTGTGTGTCAGCCCGGCTCTGTGTGTGTGTGTGTCAGCCCGGCTCTGTGTGTGTGTGTGTCAGCCCGGCTCAGCGCAAATGCTACATTCGACCACAAGACAAGTATAAACCAGCCAATGCCTGATTTGACACCAACACGTCACTAATTGTGCTAATCTGGTATCTGCAAATTTCATATAAGGGATGATGCGAGGAGCCAATTGCAGGATTGCAGATTCATTTGCTCTGAAATGCTGTTAACCAACCAACTACAACAGCACAAATGGATTATAAACTCATCAAGCAGTTCAATGTTAAGCATCTGAAGGATGTCAGTGACATGGAGAATCCAGTACTTGCCACCTTTCATGTTCTTCTCAATTACGTAACATGAGAATGGGATGTATTACATGACACTGAAAACCAAACAGCAGCAAATATGATCATGTACATAAACTGTCATCAAGATTTGTTTGATGAAAACAACACTGAGCCCAGCAATGTTGACTGAGAAATGACTGATACAAGCAGCACAGTTACTGCAGACCATCAACTCAACCTCTGTAGGAGACTGCAAACATCTCAAAATTTTTGTAAATAATTTAGATTTGCATTACCGGAGTTACGTATATGATTTCCTTTTTTATGTACAAGGATGCGATGAAAATTTACATTAATATAGCACTTTTCACATCAAGAGCAGTATGCACACGCACACTGCTCCCCCTTACTGACATCATCCGCAGACATGGGGTAAATTTCCATATGTATGTGGATGATACCCAACTCTTATCTCTCTGCCTCCACCCTCAACTCCAGGACTAGTGGCGTTCTGACCGGCTGCCTGTCCGACATCAAGTCCTGGACGAGTGACAACTTTCTCCAACTCAGCAAGACCAAGGCTTCCTGATTGTCTTGCGCCAGCGTCTCTGCACCTCAGGCGCTGGCAGCATCAGCCTCCACAGCTGCACACTCAACCTCACTAACCCAGTAAGGAACCTGGGTGTCAGGTTTGACCTTGAACTGTCCTTTCTCCCCCACATCCGCCCCATGACCAGTATTGCCTACCACCACCTTTGCCAGACTCCACCGCTGCCTCACCCCTCAGGCTGCCGAAATCCTTACCCATGCATTTGTCACATCAAGGCTCGATTATGGAAATTCCCTTGCCTCCTTTCAAGGCTGGTCTCAAGACCCTCCTCTTTGATCATGCCTTCAGTCGCCCTCCCACCTCTCTGCCTTCCCTCACCCCTACCCCTAACCCACCCCTCCCCCATGCTCGGGTCCTGACCACTGACTTGGGACGTCCTCCCGATGTGAAAGGCGCTCTATGAATGTAATTTTGTTGTTGTTGTACAGAGGCTTGAACAACTATTTTTTAGAAAAATATTAAAAGCTCATTAACTCTCAGGGTTTAATTTAATATTAAGATTTTTCACTTCATATCCAATTTTGGGGGCTTTGGATGCAATGTATTTGACATGTGTCAGACTAAGCTGTCAATCAACAGAAGTAAATATCTAAGAGTTTGCCAATAACAGGGACGTCTGGGATTTGAAGAGGTAACTGTGTGTAGCATTGGGGTGTGTGTGTGTGCATGTGTGTGCGTGCGTGTGAGTTGTGTGTGTGTGGGGGGGAGGGGTGTGACAGTAATGTGACTGGAAATATCAGTGGAATCAAATGAAATAAGAGGCTGAAAAATTGTTTGGCAACTGAAGTGACAGACCAGCTCCATTTCAGAGCTGACGATTCTCTGGCTTCTGTCCACAAAGATTCCCAAACATCGAAATTCAACTTTCCAGCTGCAGTTTGGCACAGCATAAAACAGCAAGCTTTGTTTAATTGGATTTTCATCAATATTGTGGTTAATATCAATAATAGTTTTAGGGTCAAATTATTCTATTATTCTACTCCAATGATGGTTGACCATTGATAGTAATAAGAATTGGATGGCATGGTGCCTCAAAGATTCTATATTTATCATACCTGATACATGATCTCAGTCTTTACTAAATACTGTGGGCTAAAGGTGAAATTAAAGGCATTTCTGTTGGTGGATATTTGTCTTTTTCTGAATCCTGTCAGAGTTCTTCACTTTTTTTTCCTAAACTCATATTTTCTCCTTTTATAAACTTACACATATCATTTGTGCAATTTATGAATCTCTTAATAATAATAATCCTTGCATTTGATACGTCTTTGAGACATCTCAAAGCGCTTCTCAGAATATTCTGTAAAGTGTAATAACTGTGTGTTTTGTTAGCAGATGGATGTGCCCAGCGCAATGCAGGACAGGAGTATATTGAATAGAGGGATATAGACGAGAGGGATCAAGAATGGTGGAAACTGATGTGGAAGACAAACACCAGTGAGTTCATTAACCTGTTTCCATTCTATAACATTATATGTCATTTGGGCTCTACAAAACAGGCATCAAAACATTTCAATTGAAATTAACAAAAAAAATCAGCATAGCAGGCCCAGATCATTTACATAATTAACTTTGCAAGAATTATATGAATTAGTATGATTTTTAACTCTAAATATGAAGGTTTAAGTTATACAGTGCAGTTCTCCCTGGCTAGGCATCAAACTCCGCCACTATCAAGCGCTCCAAAATGCTACGCCACATGATGCGTGCTAAATAAATGCAAGTTGCTGTTGCTTTGTTAGCGATGAGATTAATCTGAGATCCCACCTGCCTGTTCAAGTGGACATCCTGTGGGGCAATGCTGAGCACAAATTGGTGCTGGATTTACCGACATTATATCCCTGAACGGCCTTAATTCCCGGGAATCTAACTTCCTACTAAACATCCTAGTTTGTGTTTCTAGTTAACCAAGCACACTCTTTAAATAGCAAGTTAGCAAACCCTTGTTGAAGCAGATGCCATAAATTCTTTTAAAAACAAATTAGATGCCAAAAGAAGAACATGATAGGTGCAAGGAGAAAACAGGAGCGTGGGATTAGATTTAGTGGCTCAGGAGGAGAAAAGCACCAACACGGGGTTAGGAACAGGTCGCAATGGGCCTTTATCTGTGCTGTATCTTTCTATGATTATATGGATATTAACCAAAGTCTTAACCACATCACTGCAGTGAAACCATTTGTCATATTTTGCACAAATAACAATAATAATAATAATCCTTGCATTTAATATAGTGCTTTTCACGTCTTCTTGACACAGAATATGCTGTAAAGTGAATTGACTGTATATTTGTGGGTGAAACGCGCTGCCAATTGAGTACAGCAGCGTCCCACAAACAGTCGTGGATTGAAAATGACCAATTTGTTATTGTTTTGTTCTTTGAAGGGATTATTATTAGGCGTGTGGAATAAGGAAACTTGCCCAAGGTTTTGCCCTTACTGGAATTGAACCCAGTTGTCTCGCTTGGAAGGCGAGTGCTCTAACCACTGAGCTACAGGATTCCAACAAACCACGAGGTAAACCTGATTAATTCCAAAATGACTTCAATCTAATTCAGGTCCAAATTTTTGGCTGCTGAGGGCCCGATCTCGGATTTGAGAAATGTCTGCGGGCCTCATAAGTGAAATCTTCCTTTACTTACTTTATAATCTTTGTGTGCTTCACTGTGTATGGCATCAATAGTTCATACAATATTTTTATTGTTCCGTTCTTACCCAGCACAGCACCAGTTGTGACTGTGAAGAAAACATAAAACCACACTGACAAGTTAACAATAGAAAGCAATAGAGATGGAAATAATATATAGTGACCACAATAACAAGAAGATCTAGGATTTACATGGGAATGTACAGACCAGAAAAGACCATCTGATCATTCCCAATGTAAAAACTAAACTTTTTTTTTATCTCTTATACTCAATCAATTTTTCCAGCAAAAGCTCTAATTCCTTCTTGAATTTGATAAATTAGGATCTGACTTCAAAAGAAGGCAATGGAAATGTTTAGTAAACAATCACTTCCGTCAGATCATGTTTGTAAGTCGACAGACCTCTCAGTCTGTAGCTCAGTGAATTATAAATATCTTTATGGAAAACCTTAGCAGAATTATCGTCAATTAGTTTCGCAGAACAGGAGAGACGTAAAGAGAATGAACCATCCTCAGCTGACAAGACATCAATTTGGTCCATTTTCATTTTGAGTGTTTACACAACATATGTAACATCGTTCCCTGCATAGCTGCACAATCTGAATCTAACTCATTAAGATTTTCCCAATTCCTGATCCCGTGAATGAGACACTTACCATGAGAAGCAAAGATCTTAAGAATCCATAAACAGAGAGTGACATGCTTGGTGCTGGTGGGACTCTGTCTCAGCAAGCTTAAGATCACATTTAGAGCTCCAATTTTTTGGGCTTTCTGTCCAAACTTTTTGTCTGCAATAAAACACCAAACGTTTAGATATATCAAGCATTTAGTTTTACAAATGCTTAAATTGAATGACAAAAATAACATTTCTGTGCTTTTCAGTGGCAGCAGAGGTTAGGAAGTCAATCCTGGGCTGTGCTACTTGCCTTCCTGAATGAAGGTAAATGAGTGGGAAAGGAAAACATTTAGTAAAAGAAATTCCATTTGACTTACCCCTTTGGCCAACTTTGACAAGTAAATGCATTAAAGGTAAGATGACATGATCATTTGGAGCTGATGTTTTGCTGCTATTTACGAGTACATGGAGTAAGGCCTCACTGCCTCCTTTGGAAATCATGTAATAGATCCGTGTGGCTGTACCTAAAACAAAGTGTAATAGACCTTACATTTGATACGGTACTTTATCACATCATCAAAACCATGGAAATTGACAGCATAAAAGACCATTCAGCCCATTGTGTGTCTTCAGGCTCCTTTCAGTCCTATTTTCCTGCCCTTTTCCCATATCAGTGTAGGTAAACATATCAAACATATCACCTTGCAGCCAGTTTATCTCCAAGGAGACCCCGTTTACCTGTCCCCAAGGAGGAGAGTCACCATTTGGTCGTTTGACATCGACAAGCGTGAGATTGAGCCCTGAATAGGTGGGCGACAGATAGCAGGAACTGACTGCAAGCTTCCCTGTGGACAACACAGCTCACCATGAAATGCATGAGGGCATTGCCACCATCTTCCTGCAAGCAGCTCGGGCACATGTCCCTTCCCATTGAGTGATGGTTCCACCAGTTGGAGGTGTGGAGTTTAAGCAGCAGCTGCTCACCTCTCTGCAGGCCAATCAAGATGGATTCCAGATGCTATGTATACAAACATGTTCACAAACTTGAACTCCAGGTAACACTTTGCAGCACCTGGCGCCCAAGCCTCAATGTTTTCTCATCAGTTTTCTGATACACATCTGTCTTCAGCATGGTGGGAGGACCATTACAGGATAGCTTGTGACGTACCAGCCACCTTGATATTCTTGAGGTCTAAGTTCAATGCCTCATATCAGGTTTACTTAGCACCAGCTGCTTAATCCAGTTCCTCATGTGAAGGGCTTTGGCAAACTTTGCTTAGTGAATCAAACTGAATGTTATTCAACTGTGGTCGCTGTCACCTAATGGATTAATTACTCCCTGAATAGTGTCTTGGTCACTGACTTCAACAACTTGCCTTTATATTGTGCCCTTCATATGAGATAGGATCTTGGACCCCTTAACAGTGACAGAGGCTGGTGCTGAACCAGGGGGAGAGGGGAGTTGATCACAGGTACGGTCGAAGAGGAAGGTCTTCAGAGTGCAATGTGAAGACAGACAAGGAGGAAGTAGGTGGTGGTATTGAGGCCAAGAGTTCCAGAGTTTCAGGGCATAGTGCTGAAAGCGCAGTCACTGATGGTGGAGCAGAAGGAATGGGGGAAGTGCCGGAGGCTTGAGGCAGCTGAACGAAGGGTAAAGGAAAGGGGTGCAAGCAGGTCAGAGAGGACAAGAAACTAGAATTAACAAGACAACTGCCCCTTATGGGTGTCATGACACAATGAGTCAGGAAGGAATCAAAGACTACATTGGCAAACTCATGGAGCACATTCAACCTGAGATACCATGGAACTCTAGCAATTTTGACTCAACAAGTTTCACCTCCCATTTGTCCCTACACACCCATACACACACACATGTATATATACATACAAACACACACATATATACACACAAGCACATATATATGTATATACTCACGCACATATATATCCACACAGATGCATACACACACACACATCCACATATATATATATAAATAAACTTTCCTATGTCTTCAATCTTTCCTGACTAACCTGTCCCCTTGTAACTTGTCTTGGCTCCCAAATCTAGAATTCTGTGACGTCTACTTACCAACTGACAGTAATTCATTCAGAATGCTCAGGTTGATCAGGATATTGTGTGCATCATGCGAACTCTAATAAAACAAATACAAATACCAAAATAAAAACACAAGGTCCATGTGTCGTCTGCTTGAAAATAGTGTAGGTGAGAGTGGAGAAGAGGGTGGGGAGGGGGGTTGAGCTACCTTAGCTCTACCACAGATCTTGGAAAGATTGAGAAACTTTTCTCTCTTGAAAAGAGAATATTCAGGGGATTTGATTGAGTGTGGCCCTTTCCTCATGAAGCACATTCAACCTGAGATACCATGGAGCTCCAGCAATTTTGATTCAACAACTTTCACCTCCCATTTGTTCCTACATACACACACACACATATGTATGCACACACACACATATACATATATACACATATAATAATAATCCTTGCATTTGATATAGCGCTTTTCACGTCTTCTAGATGTCCCAAAGCGCTTCACAGAATATACTGTAAAATGAATTGACTGCATATTTGTGGGCGAACGCGGCAGCCAATTGCGCACAGCAATGTCCCACAAACAGTCGTAGATTGAAAATGACCAATTTATTATTGTTTTTAGTTTTGGAGGGATTATTATTAGGCTCTGTGTGGAGTAAGGAAACTTGCCCAAGGTTTCGCCCTATCTGGAATTGAACTCAGGTCTCTCACTTGCAAAGCGAGTGCTCTAACCGCTGAGCTACAGGACTCCACACACATATATATATACACACACACGCATACACACACATACACACACACATATGTACACACACACACATATATATATATATAAGAAATTACAACAACAAATTACACTTGTATAGCCCACTTCACGTCAGAAAGACGTCTCAGGACGCTGGACAATCAGGGTTTTTTGGACCTGAGCTGGGAATTGGTGTCAGGAGGGCAGAGGGTGGGGGTGGCGGGGTGGCCGAAGGCACGATCGAAGAGGAAGGTCTTTAGGAGGACTTGAAGTAGACAAGAGAGGAGGTGAGGCAGAGGGATTGCGGGATAGAGTTCCAGAGTTTCTGGGCAGAGATGCTGAATGGATTATTATGAGGCGTGTGGAATAAGGAAACTTGCCCAAGGTTTCGTCCTGCCACGAGTTGAACCCAGGTGTCTCGCTTGCAAGGCGAGTGCTCTAACCACTGAGCTACAGGACTCCACAGTGTGCCTCAAATAGAACTGAAATATATCAGATTTACAAAGATACCATTTACTGTATTTCATTCCATGGAATATTTCCAAAGAAAAATGCAACATTATTTAATTTCACATTCTTAAAGTTTTTTGTTGCATCTTACATGGAATACAACTCGCATTCAAGAGGACATCTGAAAGCACCTACCACTATCGATGCGCACTGAAGGTTGAGGCGGCAGCACGGGGAATTGGGGAGGGGAAAGATATATATTTAATAACAGGAAATAAAGGAAAAATGCAGTGACAAACTTACCTGAAGTGCTGAGAGAAGATTCTGTAAGCTGCTTGTATCTTCAGAAGCAGAAGCCATCTGTACCTTGAATCTCCCTGACAGAGGGGAAGAGAAATAAATAGGAACACTACCGATTTCAAAACAGTAGCAATATAACTTCCCGACCACTTAAAATGGTAGGAATTTCTGGCCCTATCAGGGGCTGAAACCATTGGTCCGTGGCGCTGTGGGAGGATTAGATTTCACTCGTAAAGAATCTGGTAATTGCTGAAATCGTTCACCACAAACAGCGAGCTGAAAGGACCAAGGGCTTTCCCTATAGGATAGGACAGGAAAGCTGACTTGGCAGTCTGACTGCATTCCCAGCTGATCTGTTTATCAAATCCAAAGGGAAACAGTGTCTATACTTTTCCATCAGTGTCTCCAAATGAAATTAGACACAACACTCTGCAGTTGTGTCTTCAGTGACAAGTAAATGTCAAACTTTGCTAATTCTGCCTTTTTAATCTTGTCCCTCCTGCAAAAAAAATCGTGAAGCTACTTTTAGACTCGTGGCATTTGGACAGGATTGCGGCAATAACAACAGATGGGTACAGTAAGTCAGGATAAGTAACATGTGTTAATAAGGTTATTGTCGGGCCTGGCCAGCCGAATATTCTGGCATGTTATTCGGTAACACATTGCATGACAACCCATTCGAGGTCTGAAATTCCGGAGGTGCTCAGCGGACGGGGGCGAATCACAAAAAAATTTTGTGTGTTGGAGTGGCATCAATATGCATGTGGTCCAGGGCAAGGTGTAGGGCAAGGTGTAGGGCAAGATGTAAGGAAAGGTGCAGGGCAAGGCGTAGGGCGCTAAAGCTCTCCCTCTCTCTATTTCCCACCCCCTCTCTCCCCCACCGCCTTTCTCCCACCCTCTCTCTTTTCCCACCCCACCCCCTCTTTCTCCACTACTCCCCCCCCACTCCCATTCTCTCTCTCAAGCGCAGGTCACTATCGGCAGCGGCAGGTGCCGGTGGTTGGTTGGTAAGGACATGATTGGTAATAGACGCACTTGCCTTCCTGACAGACTACAGTGAAGAGGGGGTGAGAGAGGAGTACCGCCTCTCAACCGCCGGCTCCTGCCGCTGCCCCGGGAGGACGTTCACCAAGGAGGGAGGGAGTGCAAGTTGGAATGTTGGAAATGGTTTCCGGCCGCATAAAATCACCCTTCGGGCTGCTGGCAGCTCCCGTGTCGCCTTGGACCAACTTGGTGTAAACTGTCACAACCGAAATTACAATGGTCATCAAAAGAAATGTTGTCTGCCCTGGTGAGGACAATCGATTGAAAAGTACATTATGTATCTATTAATTATGTAGCTATCCCTGCAAGCCAAAGCCCTAATAAGTAGGGTGATCCTAGCTGGACAAGCAGTGGGATGCTGGCCGGACACTGCCTTCAATGGCAAGTTATGCTTCAGCCAATGTCTGTCGAGATTGGGTTTAATGGCTGAGAGACGGTTTGTGTCAGGGCTGGTTGTGGAGCATCAGTTTGTGTGTGAGTTGGTTCAGGGCAGGTGTAGAGTCAGTGACTGTCTGTCGAGGTCGGTCGAGTGCAGTTGTTGAGTTACAGTCTTTCAGGCCTGGCTCAGTGCAGTTGCCTCGGGTCAGTCGCTGCCAGGGCTGGGTCGGAGTAGTTTGCACGGCTGGTTTGCTAGTAACCGGTAATGTGTAGCTGCCGAGAGTCAGTCGCTGCCGGATCTGGGTCAGTGTAACTGCCACGAGTCAGGTTCTGTCCAGACTGGTTAAGTGCGATTGTCAAGTCAGTTTATGCTGAGATTGGTTCAGAGTTGGGTTTGTTGGGGTGAATTCAGTCTAGTTGTTGATTTGGTTTTTGTCAGTGTTTCCTTAGTGTAGTTGAGAGTTGGGTTTGTTTTGGTTTAGTTCAGAGGATGTTTGAGAGTTGTCTTGTGTCAGGGCAGGTTCAGTGTAGTTTAGCGAGTGGGGCCAGGGTTAGATTAGTAGAATTGTTGAGAATGAATTTCTGTGGATTTGATCAGTGAAGATCACGAGTTGCTCAGTGTCGGGGCTGGTTTAGGGAAGTTGAGGGTTTGTGAGATGGGACTGGCATTGTTTGTCAGAATTTCGTTTTGTTATCGAAGCTGTTCATGTTGAGATTGGTTCAGTGTATTCAATGAGAGTTGGTCAGTGTCGGGGATGGTTCAGTGTAGGCACACAACCAATGTATTTACAGCGCAGCTTGAATCGGGGTTAGGGGTTGGGGTTTAGGGGTTAGGGTCGGGTGTTAGGGGTTAGCGTTAGGGGTTAGACTTTAGGGTTAGGGTTGGGTTTAGTGTTTAGACTTGGGTTCAGGGTAAATAGGGTTGGGTTCAGGGTTAGGATGCCAATTAGGGTTAGGGTAGATTTAGGGGTTAGGCTTAGATGTTTATTCTTAAGAGAAGAATGGAGGAACGGAAATTGAAAGCCAAGCTGGAGAGGGTAAGTGAGTGCGCAGTAAAATTTACACAAGGTGTATGATTTGGGACCCAAACATTTAGTATGACTTAACTGAAGTCCGAGTTGCAGGCAAACTGTATAAGTAGTGTAAAATCTGATTTAATCAATAATCTATACGACGCATGAGTAATTCAATGCAGCCCTAAGTGGAGGAGGAATAGAGGGTAGGGGCACAGAGTTCCAAGTTAGGAGGTGATTAATAAAACCAAGTGGTTTTGGTAAGAAACTGAATGAGTGAATGTACGCTTTGGTCGTTTACACGTTTTATAAAGATCAGACTTGTGTGAGTTTTACTGTGTTTGTGAACATATATATTGTCCCTTCACCTTGAACTTGGGCAAAAGGTTAAGATTCAAGGAGTATAAATCAACTGAATCCTAATAATAATAATATGCACAAGACCAAAAACTATCGTCCCAAACCCTCGGGGCACTTCCATAATCCAAACAACAACTTGTACTTATATAGCTCCCTTCATACAGGGCAGCGTCTCACAGCGCTTAACAATGGCGGAGCTGAACTCCGGTGGGGGGTGGTGGAGGTGACCGTAATCATGGTCGAAAAGGAAGTTTTTCAGGTGGGACTTGAAAAGGGGGAGAGAGGGGGCAAGGCGGATGGATTAAGGGAGAATGTTCCAAAGTTTTGGGGCGTAGTGGCTGAAAGCGTGACCTCCGATGGTGGGGCAGAGGGTGCGAGGGACAAGCAGGAGGCGGTGCCAGTCGAGCGGAGGCGCCGGGTGGTGGATTAGGAAGTGAAGAGGTCGTAGAGGTAGGGAGGTGTCAGAGAGTGAAGCAATTTGAACACGAGAGTGAGGATCTTGAAGTCAATCCATACGGTGATGGGGAGCCAGTGGAACCTGGGCCAGAACTGGTGAGATATGGGGACGGAGTTTGGTCGGGGTCAGCATGCGGGCGGCAGAGTTTTGCACGAGCTGATCTTGTGAATGGTGGAGCTGGGGAGACTGGCGAGAAGTGCATTGGAGTATAATCCAGGCGGGAAGTGTAAGGTACGCTCGGAGACGGGTAATGTGGCGGAGGTGGAGGAAGGTGGTCCTCGTCAGGGACTAGATGTGGGCAAGGAAGGACAGCTGGGGTTCGAACCAGACGCATGGATTGCGCGCGGTTCGATGAGTCTGAGGGAGAGTCCAGGGAGGTTGAGGAGTTTAGATCTGCAGGAATAAAAACTTTGACGGGGGCCGAGGAGTATGGCTTCCGTCTTGTCCACATTCAGCTGCAGGAAGTTTGCACTCATCCAGGCCCTGATATTTGCCAGACAAGCTGATAGAACATCAGTGGATCTGGAGTTGATACTGGAGGGGGAAAAGTAGATTTGTGTGCCCTCCGCAGACATGTGGAAGTTTACCCCGTGTCTGCAGATGACATCGCCCAGAGGGAGCATATAGATTAGGAAAAGAAGGGGGCTAAGAATGGAGCCCTGGTGTATTCTGCAAGTGACCGGGTGGGGGCGGGAGGAGAAACCATTTGCCGAAATGAAATGGAGGCGGATGGTTAAGTAGGACTCAAGCCATGCGAGCACGGTACACTAAAGTGGATGACGGAGGAGAGGAGGATGGTGTGGTCAAGTGTGTCAAATGTGGCAGAGAGATCCAGGAAGACGAGGAGGCAGAGGAACCCTGGTCACAGATAGAGAGGATGGGAAGTCATGTGACTTTGATAGGCACTGTCTCTGTGCTATGGGCAGTCAGGATAAAAGTCAGACTGCAGTGGCTCGAGGAGGAAGTGGAGGGAGAGGTGTGATCGAAGTTCGCCTGCAACAATGTGTTCCAGTGTTTTATGTGGGTGATTGTAGTTGAGAAGGAGGAGGGAGAAATGGGGGCAAAGGAGTGGCAGGAACCGTGGCGGAGGGAGAAGGCGGTGTGGATGGTCTGGTTGAGGTGGAAGGTGACATTGTTGGGGTGGGGGGAGGATGCAGCCATACGGATGTTTTCAATTTTTGAAATCTAAGACCTGTCCGAATACCGTATATAATTTAGGACACAAGATGTCAAGTGACTGCCAGGATGGTGGAAGGCAACATAGATGGATCTTGGTTTTCTTTTGCCTAGCAAATTCTTATTTTCTTATTTCTCGCCCCAGGTTGCAGATTGTGGCTGCATATTATTCACATATTCATTATTTTCCTGTTTTGCAGAAAGCAAAGACGTCAAAGACCATATTTAAACCTGCTGCTACTGAAGGTAATTTGTTCAATGAATTGTTAGCCACAAAAAAATCAATAAAGCAAGGGGCTTAAATCCAATAAATCATTCTGTAAAGGACAGATTTCTGTTAAAGTTGATCATTAGAAGCTGGTGCTTAATGTAAACTGTGTCCTGCAAGGAGGAGACATAAAAACATAAGTACATAAAAAATTGACCTCATGGCCGCTGGTTGGATATTAGACATTGATTAGTATCGGGTGGTTTGCTGTTGTATCAAAATCAAGGATTCTTGTATTGTTCCTATTTTCTTCCCACATGAATCCTGCTCGGTGCTTGCTCCCTCATACCCACCCGCCTCCTCTCCTGATCTCCCAGCTCTATTGCCTTGCCGTCTGCTAACAGATGTTATCAATCTCTCCACGTCCACTTGTGCAGTTCCCACTTCATTTGAATCTGCTGTCACCCCCTCTTCTCAAAAATCCCTTCCTTAATTACCATCCCACCTCTAACCTGCCAACAACATTCTCTCCTCATTCTTATCTGTAACCAGGGCTCTCTGTATCTTCTTGTACTCCTTGATCTCTCTCCAGGCTTCAATGTTGTCAACCACTATCCTTTTTCACCACCTCACCTCTCTCAGCTCCACCTTCACAGTTCAATCCTCTCCTGGTTTCACGCTTACCCATCCCAACTTTGCCTACCCTTTCACAGTTACTTCAGGGCTCTGTCCTCAGTCCTCTTTAACATCTACATGCTCCCGCTCGGTGATGTCTTCTACAGACATGGGGTTAACTTCCATATATATGCAGATGACACCCAAATATGTGATGAATGCATGGATGAAGGTTTCAGCAGCCTGATGGGAGAGATGTTGGAGGAACCGGGCGATGTTGTGGAGATGGGGAAGGCAGAGCGGGTCACGGCATGGATGAGGGGTAGAAAGGACAATTTGACAAGGGTCAAACAAGATGGCAGGGTTCCGGACTGGTTCAGTGAGATAGAGTGTGCATCCCTGGATGCTGCCAATGCCTGAGCTGTGGAGGCACTATCTTGTCCCCTCCCACCTGTGCCATCTCAACTCATACCGATCCAGCTGCTCTCCACACAAAGCTTCCTCCGCCCCCTGCACCATCGAGCTTTCAGCCACCATTCTGAATGTTAAAAATCCAACAAAACGAATTGTAAAGAGAACAGAGTTTCTTGACAAATTGATCATTCACTTCATAATGTTTTGTAGGATATTGTGTGCAAATTGGCTGCCACGTTTTTCTCCAAATACACTGTTACTACATTGATAGCAATTTCCTGTGAAATACTTTGAGACATAGTCACTGGATCAGATGCAAAGAGGATTGTAGTATTAGGAAACAAAGCCCTTAACCCTATTGTCTTGATCTTTTGCAAGTTTAAATATTTTTGTTAGTTTGTGCATAGAAATTCCAGAGCCATCAAGCACGAAGTCCGAAGAAACAATCACCAGTGAGCAGCGAGCAGTTTCTGGCAGTAACCATTCCGGTGAGTTGTCATTGTTGCTGCGTGTGTAGAGCCCAGTCGTAAAGCGACTGGTGATTTCTCCAATGCTCTGCTATTCACAGCCATGTCCTCACCGCGACCCAAAATCCATCCCACCCGTCCTCAGCTTCTCTGGTTCCCTGACACAGAACAGATTGATTTCAAGATCCTCACATTCTCTGCCCTGGCACCTGCCAACCTCTCTCTGCCACCTGTCTCACACCCCATTCCTCTACCTTCACTCAGCCAGGGCGGCTTTGACCAACCCAGTCCATGTCATCAGTTACGCCGTGAGCCTCTGGAACTTACCTCAGCCCCTCCACCTCACCCCTTGTTTGTCTGTCTGCAGATCACAGCTGAAGACCCTCCTCTTTGACTGTGCTTAGGGTAATCTCCCCTCCCACTCTGGCTCAAAGGCAAACTACACCACAGTTAAGAGCTCTGAGGTGCTACCTTGCATGTGTAAACTCACAGGCCGATAGTTACCAATCTTTTCGTGCCCTCTCTCTTTTGATAATGGAGTGACATTTGCAATTTTCAATCCCCGTGCATTTCTGACAATACAGCATACCCTCAGCACTGCATTTGAAGGGTCAGCCTAGACTGGATCAGTTCAAGTGCTGATGTGGTGCCTGAACCCACAACCTTCTGACTCAGTAGAGAATGCAGTAAACTGAGGCAGCTGAGACCCGGAGCTGAGCTCTCGCCTGTTCCTCCTGGACTTCTCTTTGCTTCTTAGCTAATTCTGTGTTGGTTATAAATTACAACACTCTGCATTCTTCTACCTTAACTCAGCCAAGCCTTGACACCTCTCATTGTGCAGCTAGTGATCTTCATTTACTCTCTTACAGTAAACGGCCGATCGGTGTCCTCGGGCTCCGGGACTCCCAGCACATTCGGCTCCAGCAATGGCAAACGCTTGCGAGCCGACCACGGGCAGAAATCAGAGGCCTACAAATCCATTTTCACCTCCCACAGCTCAGCAAAGCGCTCAAAGGACCAGGAGCCAAACTGGATCACTCACACTGCATACTACTTCTGAAACAGCCAGAACCAGATACCATCACCGCCTACTTTAGTTAGTAAACCCAGGAGATTAAATTTCTTTCCTCTATGTGGACTTTTTCTCTAGGAGCTCTTCCTAATTCTGCCGAGACTCTTCAATCCTGGTGGTAATGAAAGTGAAAATGTTTAATTGGTGATGGGATCAGACTGAAGTGGTGAGACTTACCTCGGGTCCAGAGCTCAAACTAATTATTGCTCAAACGCGCTTCCAATTGTCTACTGGTGGCTTTACTCTCATGAAAACTCTTCATTTTGCTTAATAAATCTCACAAAGGATTCTTCATTGTCATCTTCTGTAGCAACACATCAAACAGCAGCTCACACACATGAGGAAACGATCAGCAAGTGCACCAGCGAGGCCCAGAGCACAATCATTCTGTCAGGAAAGCAGTGGTCCTGGGGTTGAGGTAGAAAGATAGAGTTGGTTGTTACACACACGCAGAGCATTCCCCCCCCCACACACACACACTTTTCTGTAACTTAGGGTGCAGTTATTTGTGTTTTTTAGCAGCTGATTCACGCCACATCCGACGAACAGCTTCTCAGTGAATAATCCACTCTGCACAGTGATAGCGGACGGTGCTTCACCTTATTTTGTTCCACCAAGCGCTCTGGGACCTCTGCCCTGCTTGAGGGGTGCTATATAAATGCAGGTTATTGGTACTCATTACATTTCAAAGTTTATTATTATTTTCTAGGTTGTAGCTCCTGCAGCTGAGCCCGGCTCGTCAATGCTGTGTGAAACATCGATTATATTGAGATGTGGGATACGAACCGACTGTCTGCTTCTGTCCAGACCAGTTTAAACAAAATAAAACTCATTGATTTGGAGTCAGAACATGTTTGTCTGGGACCTGTGTCTAGGGTGGAGGCTATGTTTGGAGGCTTGTCACACGCATGGAACATGCATGGATGTGGGGTAGAAAGGACAGTTGCGGGTTAAACAAGACGCCAAGGTTCTGGACTGGCTCAGTGAGGTGGAGTGTGCAGCCCTGAATGGTGATTTCAAGATCCTCACCCTCACCTATAAGGCCATCAACGGCCTTGCTCCCTCCTACCTCTCTGACCTACTATCCCCCTACCTACCTGCCCGTACCCTCCGTTCCTCCGGCTCCGGTCTGCTCCACGTCCCACGCCCCAATCGCCCTACCATCGGTGGTCGGGCCTTCAGCTTCTCAGCCCCGAGGCTCTGGAACTCTATCCCCCAGTGCCTTCGCCTTGCTTCCTCCCTCTCCTCCTTCAAGGCCGGTCTCAAAACCTTTCTCTTTGACCGAGCCTTCAGCTCCCCTCTCGACTCTCTTCCCCCTCCTCGCTCCCTCCCTTCCCTCCCCTCACCCTGACCATTTCCCCCCTCCTCCCCCCCCCCCTCCCCTCACCCTGACCATCCCCCCTCCTCGCTCCCTCCCTTCCCTCCCCTCACCCTGACCATTTCCCCCCTGCTCGGGTCATGACCCAACTGTGCAGCGCCTTGGGACGTCCTCCTGACGTGAAAGGCACTTTATAAATGGAATCTTGTTGTTGTTGTGATGCTATCAGTGCCTGAGGTGTGGAGGAGCTGACCTGAGCCAATCAGCACACCCACAAACACAACACCCAGTATAGCATCCTGTTAGTGTAGGGAAGGCTTAACCTGTAAATAAAGCACTCAGCAGGTAATATGAATTACATGATTGGCCACCAGACAGTCTGGATTATGGTGGCAGGTATAGAAAAGTGCCTTTTCTACCGGATGTGCTGAAACAGGTGGAAAAATCACCTGCCCAACCTGGTTCAACACATAAACATACACATATAGATGCTTGAAACTTCAGTTGTGTTGATTCAGGACCGAGAGTTGGTTTCTTTTCGGGGATGCGATGGGGACAGAGGAAGCGGGGGGAGTGGGGTTGGCCTAATTGGCCTGAATGGCAGCCTCCTGTGCTGTATAATTTTACGATTCTGCCCCAAACCAGGAATGTTATTGGAAACTCAAGCTGTTTGTTCCGATATCATTGTTTATTTAAACGGAGGCAGAAGCTGAACCAAGTGGCCTCGACCAACAGCTGTGACGAGGGTTGGGGTTCGAATCATAATAATCCTGGCGTTTGACACAGAGCCTGATCATGTCATTGAGACATCTCAAAGCGTTTCAGAGGACATGCTGTAAAGTGTAGTGACTTTGTGTTTTGCAGGCAAAACAAAACATCAGCAAGAAAACTGAATCTGTAAATCTCTGAATCAGCAGCTGATTCGCTAAACAAATCAATAGAAAATCGTGTGATTATTGTAAACCAATCAATAGAAAATTGTGTGATTATTGTAAACTAATCAATATAAAACCATGTGAAGTCTGTGAACCAGTCAATAGCAAAGAAACCCATGTGGTGATATTGACTGGTTACAGCTGTGAAGAGTAGATCAACTGGACCTTGTGAGGAATGGGATTCCCTTATTAGCCACATGATAGAACTGACCTTTGGGTATTTAACCCAGAGGCTGAGCGCAGTAACAGTCCAACCGGTGGAGGAAGGAGTCACCTCATCAGCTCAGAGAAAGCAGATGAGTTGCTGGAGGCTTGTGGTTCAGAGCAGTGAAATGGTCAGTTTGCATGTGGTGGATTGGCTCAGGCCGGTCTCTCTATGGACTATATAAGGTAAGTCAGTATTTGTGAGATCCTTCAGGTGGACTGTAAACTGCCTGTAATGTTGATTCTCCCTAAAAAGTGGAGGGAAAGTGTCCAAACCTTGGGTGTTGTCTCCTGTGAGCTTCAGAGACATTATCACTGTACACCTGTCCTTGATGTAAATTGTGAGTAACTGTTGGCCAGTTTGGCTTTTCCTTTTATTGTATAACATGTCTCAAAAACAATTGCTATTATTTTGTTCCTATCTGAAGTCTGTAGACAACTCCCACCAGAGTCTTAGCCTCCTTTGCTGTTCCTTAATTCTACCCATAGTGTTTCCACAGCCTGATCACCTTTACTAAAGTCCTTTCTATCTACTGCTGTACTTGAGTGTTATCCATATTGCTCTTCCTCCTTTCCCAATTTTCCTGTCCTTTCTAAAGATCTTACAGCCTGGAATATTTAGCTCCCAGTAATGTCCAGTTTGTAGCCAGGTCGCTGTAATGGCTACTACATCAGACCCTTTAAGCTGAATTTGTGTTTCTAACATGTTTTATTTTTTATGCTATGTATTTGTGGATAGACACTTAAGAAAACTGTCCTCATTTGCCCATATGGCCCAATGGTGTTTTTCTCTTGTCATTTTTTGTTTATTTCCTAAAAAACATCTCTTTCTGGAGAAATTGAGTTATTTATCACGTTTTGTTTTCTCATCTTTGCTCTTCTGTCTTTAGTTTACTGTTTCGACGTGAGTCAGAGGTTGTTAGTGGACATCCTCTCGATGTGAAAGGCACTCTATAAATGTAATTTTGTTGTTGTTGTCCTGGAACCAGTGCAGGTTTGTGTTGATCTTGAACGCTGGGCTAATGTTCGTTCATACCACATGAGAACTGGATTGTCATACGTCAGTGAACTTTGGAGACCTTGTCCCCATCCATCTGTTTGATGCAGATTGTGACCACTCTTGACCAGTCTGGACCAGGATTCTCTCTATCGCACTCTCTCTATTACAATCATTCTCCTCTTTCCTGTCACACTTTCTCTCCTACAAACTTGTCACTCTATCAGTGAATCTTTCTCCTCTCTCCTACACTTTCTATTGCAATCTTTCTCCTCTCTATCACACTTTCTATTGCAATCTTTCTCCTCTCTATCACACTTTCTCTCTATTCCAATCTTTCTAACACTTTATCTCATTCATTCTCCTCTCAATTGTAATCTTTCTCCTCTCTATCATACTTTCTCTCTAACACAATCTTTCTCCTCTCACAGTTTGTCTTTTTCTATTGCAATCTTTTTCCTTCTTTCTAACACATGTTCTCTCTATCAGAATTTCTCTCCATCTCTCTATCAAACTTTCTCTCTATTGCAATCTTTATCCTCTCTATTGTACATCGTCTCTCTATTAAAATCTTTATTCTTCTTTCTAATACACTTTCTCTCTCCATTAGAATATTTCTCCTCTCTATCACACGTTCTCTCTCTAATAAATCTTTGCCCTCTCTATCACTCTTTCTATCAGAATCTTTCTCCTCTCTATTACAACCTTTTCCATCTCTGTCACACTTTCTCTCTATCAGTATCTTTCTCTCTATTACACTTATTCTGTTACAATCTTTCTTTCCCTCTATTGCAATCTTTCTCCTCTCTATCACTTTCACTCTATTACTATCTCTCTGCTCTCTATCACACTTTCTCTCTATCGCAATCTTTCTCCTTTTCTCTATTACAATCTTTCTCCTCTCTATCACACTTTTACTCCAATGCAATCTTTCTCCTTCTCTCCATCATACTTTGTCTCTCTCAATTACAAACATTGTCCTCTCTCTCACTCCTATCAGAATCTTTCGCCTTCTCTCTTTTTTCAACCTTTTCCATCTCTGTCGCACTTTCTGTGTATCACAATATTTCTCCTTCTCGCCATCGCACCTTCTAACACAATCTTTCTCCTTCTCTCTTTCACAGTTTGTCTTTTTCTATTACAATTTTTTTCCTTCTTTCTAACACACTTTCTCTCTCTATCTGAATTTCTCTCCATCTCTATCAAACTTTCTCTCTATCGTACGTTGTCTCTCTATTAAAATCTTTATCCTTCTTTCTAATACACTTTCTCCATTAGAATCGTTCTCTTTCTTTCTAACACACTTTCTCTCTCTATTAAATCTTTGCCCTCTCTATCACTCTTTCAATCAGAATCTTTGTCCGCTATTACAACCTTTTTCCCTCTCTATCACACTTTCTCTCTATCGCAATCTTCCTCCTTTGTTTCACACTTTCTCTCTGTATTCCAATCTTTTTCCTTTCTCACACTTTCTCTCCCTCACACTTTCTCACTCTCTCGTACTTTACCTCTGTATATTACAATCTTTCTCCTCTCTATCACACTTTCTCTCTCTCTCTCTCTATTCCAATCTTTCTAAAACACTTTATCGCATTCTTTCTCCTTTCTATTGTAATCTTTCTCCTTCTCTCTATCATACTTTGTCTCTATCACTTTCTCTCTAACACAATCTTTCTCCTCTCTCACAGTTTGCCTTTTTCTATCACAATCTTCCTCCTCTTTCACACTTTCTCTCTCTGCATTCCAATCTTTTTCCTTCTTTCTAACACTTTCTCTCTCTATCAGAATTTCTCTCCATCTCTCTATCAAACTTTCTCTCTATTGCAATCTTTC